GTACAGAGACACGTATAGGCCATAAACTGTAGCTGGAGGGAAGAGTGCTGGAACAGACCTGATCAGCGCTGTGTGGAGGTGGTAGGAGGGATGTTGGGGGGCTTGAGGGGTTGCAAGGCATTCATTTGCTTTACAGATAATGCCATCTTATTTACCACGAGCTAATCCTGATAGTGTTTTGATGCTGCATTTTGGTATTTTTTTAATGTCTATTCGTGTTTTTGTTTTGGGTTAGAGTGATGAAATGCAGCTGTGTTGAACTAATGGATACTTGTGTATTAATAGGTTGTATGTTATCCTCAATTCTTCCTTTATTGACACAAAGCTTTATAACTGTAGGCCTTCCACACTCACAACCACTCTGTTACAAAAACATCAGCTCTATCAAGTCATTCAGTATCGTTTTTAACATTAACACAAGAAAACATATCTAAAGATTGGTGGAAATAAACTTATTTCCACTGCATTTGTTTATTAATTCAAATGCATTTCTTCAAAAAGTGTCAGTAAACAGGACAAAATAATGCACATTGATGCAGTTATATAATGGTAATAAGACTTGATTCCTAAAATAAGAGTTCTATTGAGAACTGTTGGATAATTACTTTAATTGCACAATTTGGTAACATGGCTAATTTGCTATATTACTGATCAAGATTAAGAGATACTTTGCACTGCACAGGGTGGCAAGAAATATCATAATGTTTCTTATTTTAGGCTGAATGGCTCTCCAGCCTCCGTCCTCCCTCTCTTCCATTCACCTTTCTTATTAAGTTTATTAAAGCCAGTCCACATACTGGGTTGCCCAGGTCCAGTTCCTTTTCCCATTCATTACAGTACCTTATCCTGGCAGGCAATCTGAAGTGTGCTCTGAATAGTCCATTATGCACATATGAAGGCCATCATGGCCCAAGTATTGGTCAATTCATCAAACATTTATCTGTTGCCTTCTGAACTGGACGTCATTATGCCTGTCACTCTGCAGCTCTGGCCGGCCGTTTAGAATAATAGTGCATTGCTTTTCGGCACAACTGTGACCCTTGAGAGGACATCAGCCCTTTAACTGTGGACTGCACCTGTGAGGGCTCTCCAGCTTTTCAAAGTGTTTGTGTGTGTGTGTGTTTTTGCTATACGTTAGACTCAGGAGCTTTTTCAGTATTGCTGTGCTATCTGCAGGGATGTGGCCTCTGTGATGTGATCTCTTTCACCATTTCGGTAATTGGGAAGACTTTGAGCTTGTTTTACATTATAGCTCTGTATTTAATGGCTCAGAAGTACTCCACATTGGACCTCAAAAAAATTTAGATTCATTCAGGCAGCAGTTTCAAAAACAGCGGACATAATAAGCGAGACTGTGTAACACGCGCTTTTTCATCTGCTGCTTGAGGATATATGACATGACAATGGCACACACCATTGGCAGGAGTGACTGACATTTCAGCCAATAATGGTCGAGAGTTTTCTTCCCTCTGTTGTCAGCAGTGGTTCATCAATCACTGTGTCTGCATTAGTATTAGTGTATTGATCCGGCAGGGCTGCTCTCTGGGTCAGTGTCTCTCTCCAGCGTCCTTGTCTGGTGTCTCACATAGTTCCCTGCTTCCTGTGCTGAGTTTCTGCTCCAGCTAAATATTTGTATATGTGCTCTGTGTGCTCAGTAGGCCGAATCTTAGCAGATAATGGGGATTTCAACACATACATGCACTACTTATGTAAGCTCAAAAGCACACACACTGATGCACACAGGGCCGTATGATGTATGATGCTGAGCTTACACAGGCTAAGTGGTAGGCAAAGCGTAAAGACAGCCTGAAGTATTAGCTCTGACAATGAGGCTGATCATAATTATCTTAACAAGAAGAGGATTCATCGCCTCACCTCGTTAAAGCCACCGCCTGTCTCTGTCTCTCTCTCTCTCTCTTGCTAGTTAGAGGCTTAAGAAAACGCATTAGATCACACGTTACTAAGGAAATCACAATTATTTAAATTTGTACAATTAGGTGACACAATATGATGTGAGTAAATTATTTTTCATATAGCATTTGTAAGATTTCCTCCATTGTTTTTCGTAAATTGATTTTCATAGCTAATGATATACATGAATATAAATTACATTATCAGATGTATGAAACAAGCCAACAATGGTAGTAGTAGTAGTAGTAGTAGTAGTAGTAGTAGTAGTAGTAGTAGTAGTAGTAGTATTTACCATTGCACTGGAACTAAAGATACATTACTGAATATTGTCATTATCACTATCATCACAACATATTTTGAAGACGGTGAGTTACATCAAACTGTACTAACATTAGAAAAACATGTCCTGTGTGTGTTACATGTGTGTTATGCCTGTGTTTGCCATTTACCAAACCTCTACAGCACTGCGACTCAAGTCGATTATGCTCATTAGTTTTGTTAATAGCAAAGGCTGCCCTTCTTTTCATTTATTTTAAAGAAGTGAAGTACTTTTACTGCAGTGCTTGAACTTTGTTAGTTTTCCAAGCCACACATTAAAACAAGAAAGCTTATAAAAAGTAATGAAACCAGCAATGGAAATCTGCAGAGGGAGCACAGAAGGCTGAAAAGTATTAGAAGTTCAATCCCCACACTGTATTTAATGCTGGATGGGAGTCAGTGGCTCTCCCCTGGCTGTGAATTTAACTGATTAAATCAGCCAGTGCACGCAGCAGTGGTGACATGAAAACAACAATTAATAAGGCTCCCTCCTGTGCCATGCGGCTCCTTTTAACCGAGCAGCTAATAACATAACCCACAGGACTGCAGCCCATCACACGCACACACGCACGCATGCACGCACACACACGCACACACACTTACAGGTGGCAAGAGTTAGTTAGCAACCTCTGTTCACAGAAAATGCAATAATGTTTATCCAATAAGGTGTGTGCCTAACTATACATTAGCCTCACAGATTAATTGCATGTTGTACCATATTCCCTGTCTGCTGAGAAATGTAAAGTTTGTTTTATAATTGCTAGTTTGGGCCATTCAAAAAACAATTCCAGTGAAAATCATGAAAAATCTGCACGACAAACAACAATAAACTGATCAAAGAGAAACAAAAAAAAGCATAAATTCTTATGGGGTTCATGAGTTTTCCCATCTCTATAGATTTAAGTATTCTAGCTTAATGGGTCTTTTTGCTTTCATAAATGAGAAGCACCACGGGGGGAGAAAAAAAAAAAGAAACCAGAGAAGGATTTCATAAAACTGGCACATCTCTCTATTCATCCATCTTGCCAATGCATTAATCAGACCTGATAAGAGGTTGTCAGCTAGCGGATTTGCCAGCACACTGGCTAGGTGCTGTCAGCTGTTGTTGTGGGTATCAAGTGTGCGTGTTTGCAAAAGGTTGATGTCTTTTGAAATGAGGCAGCTCACTCCGCCTCAGTCGCAAGTCTACAGCGTATCGCTTATTTGTCATTTTCCACGCAAGAAGAAAGATGCAAAGATGAAAGATCATGTTGCTTTGTAGTTCAAAGTTGCTGCCAGTGTGTCCATTCTGTGCATCTATGTGTGTTTTTGGGCCAGGAACTACGTATACTTGGAGTTCAAGCTGATTGGCCAGAGAAAGCCCCCAAGAAACCGCAAATGGAGCAGTTGGTGTGGCAAACTAAAAGGGTGTAATACATGGCTAACCACTGACAAGTCAACATTTTAATAGAGCCAGGTGTATATTCGTGCACTGCATTGCAATCATCTTTTTATTTATTTTTTATTCCTTCCTTACTTTGTAGTTAAGTTTACATAATAAATGTTTCTGCCTATTTTGCCCTGCCCCCATCAAGCTTATTGCTTTTTGCCATACATTTGCAGATTGTGATGATGGAGGTGTTATATTTACATAGCTCCAAGTTGGTATGTGTTATGGCAGCCATTGACACTAGGCAGATCTAGAAAGGAGCAATAGTTCACACTGCAGCTGTGTGAAGACCTGACTGTACCTTGAGATTGTCATGTTGCAATGTGACACTGCTTATGTCAAGGTGAGCTGTTCGCTTTTAGAATTAGAATCATGCTCTACAATATAATTTAGAACATTTTGAGCTTGGAGTAAATCATTTCTATCTTGAAATTATATTTAATAATTAAAAATACTGTGTTAAAATAAAAAATACCCGTTGTGTTAACTCTGAGGAATAATTCCTGAGAAGTGTACAGTCGGTATGTGTCAAGTTCTGGCAGATTTAAATGCCAATGAAGTCACCCAGGACACGTTAACATGGCATGCTGACAGTGTGAAGGATTAGACAACACACACATTGCCTTTGTGCACCTTCCATGACTTGAACTTTACAGGGCCCTAACATTACTCCTAACACCTCCCTCCATCATGTTAATGCCTGTGTGAATGTGTATGTGTGTGTGTGTGAGAGAGACAGAGAGGGAAAGAGTTGAGATGACCCTTCACCCCTCTTTGCAATTTGTCAAAAAAAAGAAGCGGAAAGGCAAAATTCCTCCTTAAAGAAAAACATCCTTTGATCTTAAAATCCCAACACTAACCCCTATCGCGGTAGAGTTGCAAAAAAGTTTCCCCTTCCATTCCATCTGTGATTGCGAGTGTATTCTGGTTCCTCTGTGAAAATGATGGATGACAAGTTAAATTTGTGTCTGGGGAGTGAAGGTGAACTGTGACAGAGTGATTTGTCTTGGGAATGGAGGGTTAGGGTCAGGCGAAACTGGGCGCCTCAAGGCACAAGACATTGACAAATTCATCCTGCCCGCCGCATTTCTGAAGCCTTTTGTTTTGAATCCTGGCTACTCACAAGTGACCCCCATCCCTCATCCTGCCAGCCGCTGAAGGATGCCTCACCATGCCAGGGGAGCTCAGCACCACTAATTCTTGTCATTCACTTCCCTGACAGGCCCAGACCCATACACTCCCGGCGTATGAAAGAGGGGAGGCTGAAATATATATTTCTGCACAATAACAGCTGACCAGATTTAGAGCCGTAACAGTTTTCCTGTTGCCTTATCTTTTGCAGGTCACTGGCGGGTCTCAAAATGTTCACTGTGCTGGAAGAGCTGGTCGTTGACAACAATCTGCTTGGAAATGACCTCCTGTTGCCCAGGTTACCCAACCTCCACACCCTTACACTCAATAAGAACCAAATATCCTTTCACACTAATCACTCCACTAAACCATTTCTCATTTTGATTTGCATTTTACTCTCCAGACATATCACATACATCAGTATCAGAATCAACAGTGTATTTTGTTTACATTCATATGTTGATGCAACTTGCACTTGTCTCAGAGAACCAGTTTTGAATGTTGTGCTTTTGTAGGGAGCGCTGTGTGTTTCACATGAGAGAAGAGGAACTTGGCTGTCACAGAGCCCCACACAGAACTAGTTTCTGAACCACAGGGACCTCTAGTGGAATCAGATTTTAGAGTCAACATAACAGATGTGTTTTATTTTTAAAGGGAATAAAGAGTGTAGGATTAAAACTAGCCGAAAATCCATAGAATGAGACATAATGTTTTTGTGGTGTATTTGCTGTTATTTTAAATGATAAAGAATCAAATCAGGATATTTGATATTTGGATCTATTATGCATAATTACACTTCTTTAACTCACTGAAATAAAATAAATCACAAATTAATTTGTCACTAAACACACTAGAACACTCGCATTTTGGCCCATAGATTATAGCGGCTCTGTGTGTTCTACTTTCCACCTGAAGTAAACACGTTTAAAAAACAGAGCTCCGCACAACCACCCTAAATTCTAGGCATAGACACATTGCGAGGCTGTTTATGATCAGTCAGAAATGTGTGAACTTCCCGTCTAAGCTTCAGAACAGGTTTCGCAATGTGTCCTGTTTTCCTCTGGTTATGCAGATCCTGCTGGGTAACGATGTTCACTCTCATTCCCCACATTCACACACACACACACACATTTCCAGAGTCAACATTAAAACTGGGGCTCCTTGAAGTGTGCGTCTGGGACTGTGTGCTGAGTTTGGTTGTGAAGTGGTCGGCACATGCTAATAGGCCAATTATGTACATCCTGTCGTGGCACAGTGCCATTTTAAAGCTCGAGCACTGCATTAGTGCAGTTGTATTTTGACACTTTGGGGCTCAATTTTCCAAGTGAATGTATTAGTGATGAATGTGCCTGCTTAGGGGCTGTTTGTTTTTTCCACGTTTCGCAAAAGTTTTCCACAGCACGGCTCTGGGAAGCAAGGACTGTTTGAACCACAGGGCATCCATCATTTTGTCACTGTTCTGCACCCGGCCACCGAGGAAATGAAAGGGATCGAGAGAAAGGGAGAGAGAGCAGCAGCCAAATTGTGTCACTACTATATGCCAAAGCCTGCACCTTAAATTGCCCCTCTGTCTGCCCAGTCTCACAAAGCCAGTGACTAACCCCTTTGAGCACTTCGGTAAATTTGACAGTGACGTGTTTTAGTGCAGACAGGCACGGAAGGGGCTGTGCGGGTAGTAAATGCTAATGTAATTAACAGCGTTAGGTCCTTGACATCCGCCCTTTGACACCTGACTGATATCGAGGCCCTGCTGGAACACTTGGCTGATGTGACCCCGTCACTGGTGTACCTAAGCCTGCTGGGAAATGAGGCCTGCCCCAACCAGCTGGTCAGCCCGGATAACGATGAGGACGACTACCAGAGATACAGGTCAGTTACAGCATGGACTGTGGTGATGTTATACATAAATAAGGAACAGATATCACTCTGACCCGTTTAGATAGATGGATAGATAATGTTCAGTGTGGGTGTGTTTATATTTCAGACAGTTTTGATACTAAGCTATTCAGAGTCATAGCTTTTTGTAAGTAATGGATTTGGAGATGTTCCTTTTTTTTAAAACATCCAGCCTCCTAAATTTCACTCGCAGACTGTGGATTCAACCACATCACTCTAAAAGCTTTGTCAACTGGCCCCTCTACACTCCAGTTTGCAAAATGGATTTCATGTGTGACTAGTCACCACCACAAATGAGTGTTTACTACCCTACCTTACCAGAGCAGATGATGCATTAAACATCAAGCTAGGCCTCAAGCCATGCAATATGACCACCATTTGTCAGGGTCCTTTACATGAAATGCGATAAAAGGCGAAAAGCATACTCTCTTTTGTCTGTTTCAGCCCTAAGTGCTTGTTTCTGACTCTGCGTTGCCTATTAATCATTTACCACCCATGCCTTTCTTGAATAATCTTTCTTCTCTCTTTCTTCTCTCTCTCCCCCCCCCCTCTCTCACTTTGCCTCCCCTTCTCCCCCTTTCCCCTCTGCTCGCATGCTTATCTTGCTGGTGAGGAAAGCTGTTCTGTTTTGACTGACAACGTCTAGGATCCTGTAATGTAATATTCATAATGTGTCACATAGTAAAACATCAATTTGAGCGTGATGCAGATTTCATGTCTGACAAGGTTAGGCTGTATGCAGGTCGTGACAGCACTGGCCTTGGGCAATAAATACCCAGCCCAATGCCTCGGGAGCTCTTGGTCTCTCAAGTGAACTACCCTAGTGCGTTGCATCGGTGCCCCAATTAGTGCAGCGACATAGAAACATAGTATTCATTCATACAGCACTGTGTAGTCTGCGTGGAAATACAACAGTTCAAGGCTGTGATATTATATGTTAACAATGGTAACTGATTTTGCAGAGTTGTGCTTATGGGACACCATCTCCTCAGAAAAGTGAAACATTATAACAGAAGTAACTCAACCTCTGTTTTTTTCTTCTGTTTGTTTCTGTGATGTATAAAGATTAACATGTCTTTATGTGATACTTTGACCTCTTATCTTGAGGAAAGTTATCAGTTTGTCCAATCTGGTTATGTTTCAGATCAAAGAGCTTGTGCCTGAGGTGCCTCAACCACCAACTGTAATGTTCACTCAACCTTTTTTTAATGGCATGATTCCCCACAATGTCTATAGGTATTATTTTTGTTTCTTTGTTTTCTTATATAAGTTAGTGATTGTTTAAAAACACAATTTTATGGGCCCCAGAGTTATCGAATATCCTCAAGTAATTCCAATCAACTATTGGTTTGACCTTTACCAGAGTAACCACCTTTTATTTAGTGCATAACAGGTGAGCTAAACAAAAATCATTTAAAATGTGTCTGTCTTTGTAGTTGGAATTTACAGGCAAAATACAGTAAAATTCAACAAATATAGAGGACAAAGTTTCAAGCAAATAATAAGTGTTAAATGTATTTCTGTGAATTGTTTAAGATCAGTTATTGCTTATTAATTGTATCTATTTAAAACTATATAAAACTCAAATAAATACATTAAATCATAGCTAAAATAAATGAACAAAAAACCAAATAAATGATTACATACATCATACAGAATGCGTATTCTCTTAGAAACTTGTCTTTATTTTCCATAATTTTCTACCAAATTACAGAGTTCTTTAAAAAAGGACGTTTAAGGAAAGTATAATAATAGCAAAATCTAGTTTGCTCTCCAACATCCACTTCCAAGGGCAACAAAAATCCTATTGTTGTTATGACATGTTTGGTATTGCCAAAATAAAGTGTATGAGTCTGAGTTTTTTTTTTTCTTCCAGTCCTCTCTCCTCCCCCATACCCCCCTGTGCTCTCTTATCCTCCCTCTACGGTTGGTTTGAATCATTAATATCCCTGCTGGCTGACAGAGCCTTGTCATCTGTTCTGACCCTGTGATGGTAGGTTACCTATAGAGAATAACCTCCCTGCATGTCTCCCAAGGGCATCTTCAGATTTCATCATGGAAATGCCCTGAACAAAGTCCTTTTACAGGGAGGGAGACACAGGATGGGATTGGGGCCTCTTGTACTTAAGTGCTGGTGCTCTTATCGGAAAAAGATCTCTTAATAATGTTCCTATAAAAAGAAATTTAGGGCCATATGACATATTTAGTGTTTTAATCAGTTGTTTTATTTTCTTGTGGATAAGCACGCTTTCTGTTTTATGTGTCTTTCAAACTATATCAGATGTTTTGTTTCTTAAAATTGGCTTGGAGATTTTTCTGTTCCGTGTCAGTCCAAACGTGATCCCTGCATCCCCTCCTTATAATCCTCAGGTGATGAAAACTTGACACGAGCTTTGCCATCTCCCCTCATCGCCATTGCCATCATCAATTTGTCACGGTTCTTTGCGCACAGGTCTTGTCTGTGCCCATATCCCTCGTCCTTTCTCACCCTCCACTTAGGTGCTGCATGCATGTCCTTTTTGGCTACCAGCTCAGCCCTGACATACTCGTTCCTCTATCCCTGCCTGCCTGTGAAAGGATCTGTTGTCATCTATGTATTCCAACCATTATCTTTTGACGTTTCTCTCCCTACCAATGAAAGACAAGAGCGTGTCTGAAAGCTTAGAGCGATATCTGTGATGCTGCCAGAATGACAGCTCTGGCAGACGGGTTGTATCTCCTTTTGTGCTATTTATATGTCGTACTTATTCTTATCAGCTTTGAAGGTTATTACATGCAAGAAAATATCACCATTAAATCTGCACCAACATTAAATCTCAGTAAACACGGCTTCTTTTCAAGTTTTGTTGATGCATGTATTTACATATTAGAACATGTGTCAGTTTGATTAGTGTGTCACTTCCTTAGATTCTATGTTTGTCTCTTTGTTAAGAACAGGCCTACAAGGAGACCTTTTAAAGCAGCAGTACGGTACAGTTTAAAGGTGCATTGTTGTTTGCCCACAGGTACTTCGTTCTGCACAAGTTGCCCCAGCTGAAGTTTCTGGACACCAGGAAAGTAACTCAAAAAGAAATGATGGAGGCGCAGGCAAGAGGAGCCTTCATGAAAGTGGTCAAACCCAAGTCGGAAGCTGTAAGTTAAGCCCCGTTTATTTTATTTTTTTGTGTGTACACTGTTTTAAATACTATTCCCTCTGAAGTCTTGGACTTGTCACATTCATCCCTTTCTTCCCTTTTTCTATTCTTTCCTTTATCCTTCCTTTCTTCCTGTGCATGCTTGACTGTCAGTCTCCCTTAACAAAGGTCCTAGCACTGCGGCCCTTTTGTAAAGAGTCTCTTTTTACTATCGCTTAAAGTGTATGTGTGTGTGTGTGTGTATGTGTGTGTGTGTGTGTGTGTGTTTTGTGTGTGTGAATGTGTGACCACAGCCTGACCTGATTTCGTATGCATGAGCCCAGATCAAAGACGACGGGCGGCTGCCCAGTCGCGGTTGTGTTGCCAAGTGTGACATGGCTGGCGATTGGAGTGACAGCTCACGTACATGGCACTCACAATCGCTTAATTATCCCGTGCCCGTGCACTTATTCCTCCCTCTCTTGTTTTGGGCCACACAGACTAATTAGAGTTCGGGCGGTTCATAGATATAACCAATTCACCCCTTCCCGACCCTTTTCCGCCCCGTCTTCCACCCCTTTGATAATGCAATATAAATGAACAGCTTTTGCCTAGATTTGATTTCATGTAATTGTAAGGTCATGAAATATTTAGTATTTGGATCAGCTAAGCTTTGTCGTTTCAAGGTCTCTGGGGCTCTGACAGCGAGCCTGGGAGGTTAAAACGGATCCAGAATAGCAAGAGCGAAGGCATCCAATGACAAATCAGAAGCATGTGAGGTGATGTCGGGTTTAAAAGCGCACGAGAAAAGCAAAATATTTATTGTTTCAGATAAGATAGTGTTCTGTTTTAGTGTCAGTTCATGCTATGCTTTGTTCTTGATTCTTCATGCAAGTGGCAAGCAGGAAAGCAAAACACTGAAATAATTTAACCTCAGTCTGGCATGTTTGGTAGATGGAGGAAAGTGGAGTGAAAACAATGTTCATCCACTTTATATAAAACGAAACTAAGGACCTCTACAATGCTTTTTGGCAGGGTAAAGTCACTTTATAAGATTTTATTTACATAGCTTGTCAGGGGAAAATAAATGTTTGCCTTTGTCGCCACAGCCTTAGATGAAAGGAGAGATAATCACTGATTCTAGCTGACATGATGTGTGTGTTTTTCTGTCTTTGTGTCTTTGAACCTGCTGTATATGATTATTTATTCCCAATGCAAAGTAAAAGGTTAGAGCTTTGATGAAAACGCGTCTACCTCCCATTGCACACAGTATTGTGTGCCTGAACATGCTTTTGCTGTCCTACTGTTCCTTATTAGCAGTGTTTGACTGAGTCTACACAATGAAGATCATTCTTGCCGGGACTTATCCCGTGTCGGGGCCCTGGGATGTCACAGTGGCATTTCCATAACATTTGTTTTGATTTAGATGAGACGTGATGCGTCAACTATCACAGACTTGATGAGCCATGAGTACCTCCCGGCTCTAATTGTCCACATCATCAGAGTGATTGTAAGCTGACCAATAGTGCGGGCCACCAATTAATGCGACGTCTGCAACAGAACAGGAAAGCGAGGAGAGATGATGGCATAATTAGATATTTGTGTTTGCTTTTATGTCTGGTATACAGCAGGGCGTTGCTCATAACAGTGGCTCATGGTACAGTGTCTGCCATTTGCTTCATTACAAAGGATGGTAATTAGCTGTCTCGCTGTCGCCTGCACTACCATTTGAGTCTCAATTAGTGCAAGTATTGGAGGGAAAAAACACAGGAAGACAGACGTGATTTAAATGTTTTATTGATAAAAAGTTTTTTGCTCTGCGTACAGTTAATTTTCCTTTCAGACTTTTATGACAAATCTCCTTCCTGCTGTTTACAGTATATAAATTGAAACCATAGAAACAGCAGCAACGGCAGCAGGGTTACGGTGATCCTTGCCCATTCATGACAGCATAAATCTGAAGAAAGAGCCCGTGCTCTATCAGATCATTCCCATTGCATGATGTGCGTATTGGAATAGTTAATGGTCTTGCTATGAAATCGACAGTGCTGAACTTTGGAGACCTCTCTTGAGTCGTATCGGAGTGGATTGTGACCACAGTTTTAACTCCTTTTCAATCATGCCATTATGGCATGGCACTGGGTGCCGCCACATGGTTTTGATAAAGCAGTTATGGTCCTTAGCACAATCTGAACACCACAATTGTTTTATAAATTCCCAATGTTTTCCATGCTGCCTACATCCCAAGCAGACATTCAATGGCCCACTGTTTGCAGGAAAAAGCACACAAAAACCTGCGACGAGATTTGTGAGTACAGAATTAACAAAAAGTTGTAGAAAAATTGATATATGTATATATGATGTCACAGAGTTAAACCTTCACTGCAAAGACAAACATTGTGACAAAGAGGAAAACAAAGAAACGTGCTCAAATTGAACAGCAATGCTCACACACTGAGGTTTAATTGTTATTGTATGCCTTCATGCACGACTGGACATGACACCGTAAGTGGGTGACAATGAGCTGTCCCTGACTTGTCAGTATGTTTTGGTGTTTGCGCCAAACTCAGAAGGGGGTCATTTTCTCTTTTGGGTTTTGGTTGAATTGCATTTCTGAGTAGAAAGGACAAGTAGTTTGACAGAAATGACATAGATGAGAAGAGGGAG